CCAGGTTGGAGGAGGCTTTGAGCAACCTGGTCTAGTGGAAGGTGTCCCTGCTGCTGGCAGGGGGGTTGGAACTGGATGAGCTTTCAGGTCCCTTCCAACCCAAACCATTTTATGATTCTATGACAGACAGACAGGCTCCGCAGGGAGCAAAATGTCCATGTCTCCTCCTGGAGAAACAAAGGGCTGGGAAAAAAATCAAGTACTTTTCCTTCAGCACAAGGATAGAGGGAAAGGACAGAAATAGGTGACGTTAAGGCACAAAGAGAGATGGAAAGGAGAGAAATAGGTGACATTAGGGGAGATGAACTGCTAAGTCAGGTCAGATGGGGGTCTGTCGTGGGGCTGGATTCCCCACTCCCCTCCTGGATGCCCGGAGGGTGTTAAAGAAGGAACAAGCTGACCGGAGGTGCGGGTGACACCAAGCCCCAAGAGCCTGCAGGCACTCGGGGAGACATGGCTGCGATTCAGAGAAGGGACTTGGCAAACCCAGCAACTGGTCTGGATGAAATAAGATGCAACTCAATAAAAATGCACCAAGTTGTGTGTTTCTGTAGGAACAAGAAACGGCACAAACCGAGGGCAGGGAACGGGCAGTACTTTTTTTTTTGCAGAAAAGCTGTGGGGATACAATGGGTCACACGCAGCCCCTGGTGCTGTGTTATTTGAGGACGATGAGCTATACAGACACAAGAATGCTCTCTGTACGGCAAGCAAGTCTGCTCTACTCCCAAGTCCAGTTTTGGGCATCGTGTCTTTGATAAAATACAGATTTTCTAGAAATAACCCGTGGAGAGAAGTGAGAACAACCCTAAGTTTAGGAAACATCATCTGGGAAGAAACTGAATTGGTTCAGTCTGAAGAAAATACAGCGGAGCGGGGAGGACACGACAGTCGTAGACACCAGAGACTGCAGACATCACACATCCCTGGACAGTGGGACAAAAGCAATTTGGCTGAATCAGCAATGGTGAGAATCAGGTTTAGATGTTTGCAAACCTTCCCCCAGAGAAAGAGGATGCCTGGGAAGGGATGGTCATAGGAAGGGAACTCATCTCCCATGGGTGGGAGACACATGAAGCAGCAATGTGTCTTCATCTGTGGGGTTTAATTAACAGCTTATTGCCCGTGCACTGCCTGGGCAATAGTGCCTTTGGGTTTTGCAGATCTGGTCATACAGACCGATTGCATCACACTGGAAAGTTTCTATTCATGCAGGTCCTGGACCTGCAGCTGTGGATCACAGGGAGCCAAGCTCCTCGTGGTCTCCTTCCCAGTCCCGTTAGCAGAAACCTGGATAAATGTAATATTAAAAAGACCTCACTGCATCATCAGCTCCTGAAAAGCATCTCCTTGATCTAACAGAGTGCAGGATCTGGCCCCAGGAGTGGAAAGCCTTGGAGACCCCTCATGCTGATCGCAGCTTAGTCTTCAAGATGCTCACGGTGATGCCTCCGAGCCTGCCTGCCAGAGACGAAACACTCCCTGGCTGAGCTACCTGATTAGGTGTTCATTACCAAACGGAGATACTGAGAAGCAAAACCTGGCTCTGCAAAAAGCTGTCACACTCAGAAAACTCTCCCATCACATCTACAGCCCATCACCCCCACCCCAGAGCAACGCTACGGTGCCAGGTCCAGCCAGGGAGAGGGCTGAGCCCCGAGCATCCATCTCGTGGGGAAACATGAGGGGCTTTTCCATGAATTTATTTCACGTATAACAAAGTCATACAGTGCCAAGTCAAACACAATCCCACATCACAGAGACTTCCACCTATCTAGATTTGTCTGTAATTAGAATAAAATCACAACTCATGACTCTTTAAAAAATACATTTGTTTCCTGATTCTGTGACATCATCAGTCTTTATACAACAGAGCTGCTTTGCATGAATGAAAACTGCAGTAGTTTATATCAGTCTCTGATAACTGCAGGTCCATTTTCAGTCATTTTGCCTCTTCATTGGAATGTAAAATCTATGTGTTTTCCCAGCTTTTATCTATTTATTCCTCTCCAGCCTGAAGTTTGCTCTCCATCTTTGACTACAGCAATAAGGTTTTGTTTCTGCCTCGTTTACCAACAGGAAAAAAATAAATAATAAATCTATTTATTACTAAAAGTCTCTGTAAAATGCAGGAGTAATGAGAAAAACAACAGAAATACACAGGATCAATTCACTGCAAACAAGTATCCTAAGCCAAAACTTCCCCAAATACTTGGTGGGTACCTAAGCCAAAACCTCCCCAAATACTTGGTGGGTACCAAACATCGCAATGGTAAATCACACGTGGCTTGCTAAACTTATGCTAAGCTATTTTTCACTGTAATGAAAACAAAAAAAACCCCCAAAAAACAAAAAAGGAAGAGAAAAGAGCACTACTTGAGCCAAGAGGCACAGGCTATGGAAAAAAATCCAGCTTTTTGGAAAGCTGGCAGCTTGCAGGATTCTGGGGCAAAACCAGCTCATTGACACCCAAGTGTAAGATGTCACATCAGGACCAGCACTGCTTAAATGAAAATCTAACTTATTCCCCTAACCCTAAATTCCTAAGGTGGGTAGAAATGCCAAAAGGACCCATTTGGTTCCGAGGACTCTCACCCAAAACCACCAACCGAGCCCCGCGCTGCCGGGAAAACGTCTTTTCCCCTCCTGCCTTTGGGTGCTTTGGTGGAGGGTGGGGGGGAGGCATCTGGTTTTTCACTCACCTTTCATCCCACTCCCTTCCTCCTGGAATGTGTTACGAGCGGAAGGCTGATCTTCTAAATGTTCACTCCCACCACTTCCCGAAGAGGCTACACTGCTTTGTGGAGACAGGGGGGCATGATCGGAAGGGATGCACTGGGGTCCTCTAGCTCGTAAGTCCTCATGAGACATCCATCCATGTCCTAAAGGTTGGTTTGGCACATTCATGGGTGGGGTAAGGGACACAGAGCGTTTCAAAGGGCTGTGGTGTGTCTGGCCTGAGAGAACTGAAAAAAAAAAATAAAAAAACAAAAAAATCAAAGAGGTTATTCCCCCCTCGCAGCCCGGGATGCAGCAGAGTTCCCCCGAAAAAATAATAATAATAAAAAATTAAATGAAATCAGAAAATACGTGGTGGTTGGCCACGGTGCCTGGCTGATGGCTTTGTAGTGCCCATGGCTACCTACACCCTACCCTGAGCTCTCTGCTTTGCCTCCCAGGAAGCCAAGAGGACAGGAGTACCTGCAAGGAGATGGGGTTACATGAGCTATGTTGGGTTGCTTAAGGAAAGGTGTTGCATAGATGGCATCTCTAGGGGGGAAAAAAAACCCCAAACAACAAAACAAGCAGGTCTGGAGGTTTTCCCTGTGTGGAGTCAGGTACTGAGAGCAAACCTGAGCGTGGGACCATGCTGGGGGCTTGGCTGCTCCCTCACAGGGAAGGCACCACTGTTGCAAGTGTAATGGGAATTTTCAAGTGACTACACTGAGACTGTGAAACTCATCCTGTTAAAATAATCCAGACCCATATCTTTCTGGGAAAAGCATGAAAATCCCCAGGATGGGAATGTCCTCACATAGATCCAGGAGAAGCTTCTCTGTCTCTCCTTTTGGGTTAGGACTTGGCTTATGCCCCGAAGCACAAGGATTTACACAACTGCCTAATGTCACTGCAGAGCTACTTATCATCCATAGGAATGTCTAAGCCTTGTTGAGTCCTCCTAAGATCTTAGTTGAGCTGTGGTCAGCAATGGGAGCATCCCAGCTCAGCCACCCATCAGGTGCGCTACCAAGCACTTGCCTTTAACCCTCCACAAAAGCAAACAGCCAAAGCAACACTGCAAATACACCCAGGACAAAGAGGAGAGGTTGAATCCTCCTCAAAAAAATTATATTTGGAAAGCTTTGGATTTCTTTTTCCATGTGTTTGTATTTCTTGGTTGAAATTTTGATACTGTCAAGTTCAATTTGTTTTTAACAATTTTAATTAACAAAACCCCCAAATTTTAACAAGTTTTAACACCACTAAGGAAAGAGTGATGGACCAGCTCCCGTGTTTTGGAGTTATTTCTCAAGAAAAGCTTTACAATGGGTAGGTATTTACTTGCCTTTCAGTGAAGTAGAGAAATAAGTCTTATGTATGCTAAAGTATTAAATCTTAGATTTTCTGATGCTTTTTAGTAGAAGTGTTGCAACTTGAATAGCTTTTTAAAGACAATTTTTACTGAATGGTCTCAATTTTTCACTACTCTTCTTCCATAGTGTCTCATTCATTTTTAGTTATCTCCTTAGAGATTTAGATATCTTTTGCTCAGGTCTGTTGGTTAGTAGGAATAATACATGGTATTTAGAGGAAAAGATGGATATGGATGAACTATCTTTGTTTCCTGCAATGAAAAATATAGGAAAAGATTGGTCTGTTGGCTTAAAACAAAATTCTAATTTTATATTTCTGGAAATCATTAAACTGTTGGTTAAACCATAAATGCAGTCAATATATTTTAATGTACAGATTTAGGATGTAAAACATTTATTTAATGTTTTATTGCAGTTACTCTCAATGAAATTAGCTGGACATCATAGGGGCTGTTTCCCAATAACTGAGACTAAAAAAAATACCTCTGGATTTAGCTGTTGCTCAGCCGAGCCGTGTCTCATTGCCCACGGGGATAAAAAAGCAGGACAAATTCTGCATCCAGCGCTAAGGGAAGATCCTTTCTGGTTTCCATCAAACCCAAGCCCAGGCTGCTATTTCCAATGTGTCCCTGTGAGGTTCTCATCGTGATGGTTAACAAAACATCTGCCCTGGGCTGTTAACAAGGACTCATTTCTAGAGACAAGAGCAAATTCTGCAGAAAGAGACTAATTTCTCAAAATTAGCGGCTGTAAGCTTCATTGTGGGGTAGATGAAATGAAAAGCAGATTTTCTGCTCCAAGGGAATCTGAGAGCAGAGGAATTAAAATGACCTTTCAGCCCATATAAAACTGAAGCAGAAAGTTTTCAATTTTTCTTTCAAAATCAAATTTCTTCACTTTGTACAAAACCTGGAGGAAATTCATCATTCCTGTTGCTTTTCTTCCTAAAGCACCAAAACACTAAAGCTCCCTCAGCCCGTTTTGCCTTGGTAGGAGTTCATCAAAACCATTCATGGATCTTCCACATTATTTCCAAATATAAATCTTCTCAGTGATAAATCCCCAGCCAGGTGTACTGTGCTGTAAAAGTTAAGCCAGGTTTAATTCCCAGCTAAAGCCTGGGGGAAAAGCCATCATCAAAGCCATCTCTGCTGACCAGAAGCGGAATGAAAATGAGTAAATAGTGAGGTGATAAAAGGAAGGGAGAGAAAAACACCAGAGCTTGTTTGCATTTATTAAGCACCTGTAAAAAGCAGCCGGTGCCACATGCAGCTGATGGATGAGGCCAAAAACCTGCGGATTTCTGCAACATCTGAATTGTTTCCATTTCTGAAAGTGTTTTCTTCTACCAGCACATAACACTAACACCATGCAGGGAATGAAGGGGATGGTTTATGGTGAAGAATTTGTTCCCTTCCCATTAATTAAATATCTTCTAGAAGTCTACTGGCAAAAAAAGGATGTCAATGAGAACCTGGGATTTTTTTTTTTCAGAGTGGTGTTATGTTTCCTGAAGTTGGGATGCATCCTGATGGAGAAATAGATGGATTTAAGAAGGTCTTGGCCAAGCTATTTCTGCTCTTGACTTTGTACACCAAAAGCAGCACCGTTAAGGGGCCCTGGAGATGTCATGCCACCCTCCCAGGAGAAATAAATATTTAGAATTTAAAAAATAAATAAAAAATGAGGGGAAATATGGAAAAAAACCCCTATAAATCAGGTGAAATGTATCACCAAGGCTGAGCAACGCAGTGGCACTGCCCAGAGCCCCTTCTGTGCCTGCTGTCCCCAGCTGTGGTTGCATGTCTCAGAGGGGAAATCACCTGGAATTTGTAGGAAAAACTGAGGATTAGGAAATAGTTGTGCCCTTTGAATGAAAGAGAGATGCAGGCAAACAGGCAAGGAGGACAGGGGGCAATATCCCCTTTCAGGAAGTGAAGGGCTGTTCCGTGAGGCCTCCCTCTTACAGGGTCTCTGCAGCAGCTGGTATCCTGCAGCGTCTAAGCCTTCCTCCCCCCACCAAAATCTTGCAAACAAGAGGATATTTTTGGCTTAAATCCAACCCAGATTCCTTCCTGAGCAGCAATACTCTTGCAAACTGCTGCTGCTCTTCCATCTTCAATTTACGTCCCCTAATTAGAAGCCGGTGTCGGCTGGAAGAGAAATAATGAACTCCGCAGCATGGCCAGGAACAATTAGAAATCATCCAGTGCAACCTATAAAAATCAGTTCCACTTTTTTTTCCCTGAGATAACACAACGTTGGGAGTCCAACAGACCACGTTTTACTAAACCACAAGCATTTTTACTGAACTACGAGTCAATTCACACAAGATGCAGTGGGGATAATTCCTCTGCAAAGGATGCTACCAGCAGAAAGTCATCAGCTCTTTGAAACCACCCCAAGTTGCTCTTGGTACCACTGTTAACATCTAAAATGTAGATTATTTAAGAGCTGGCTTAACTTTAGTCTCTGCTTAAGCCTTTCTGGCACCTGCCTGGTGTGCACACACCTCTCCCTCTTTTAATTTGTAACCTTCAGAAAGGGGATTAATAAATATGCATATTTATTAATGGGGGAAAAGCCATCATCCAAGCCACCTCTGCTGACCAGAAGCGGAATGAAAATGAGCAAATAGTGAAGTTATAAAAGGAAGGGAGAGAAAAACTCCAGAGCTTGTTTGCATTTATTAAGCACTTGGTTAATATCGTCACAATCTGCATATTTATTAATCCCCTTTCTGAAGGTTACAAATTGAAAGAGGAAGAGGTGTGTGCACACCAAGCAGGTGTGCACACACAATAAATATGCATATTTATTAATGCTGCTGCTTGTGTTCGTGCCCTCAAGTTTCTTGAAATAGAGGATGTAGATAATGATTTTCCAAAGTGCCACTTTAGTGTTAGGTCTTTCCCTGCTTTTGACAATCTCGTGTGGTTTTTTGGCTGGTCCAAGGTGAATCTGGGGCTGCTGTAAACTGACCTGGAACTTCCCATCAAGATAAATCACTTTTTCAGTCTCTTGCTAAAAGAAATGGTCCACGTGTGCTTTTAACTTCAGCAGAAGAGAAGCAAGTGTGAGTTTCCAGCCTTATGCTCAAGCCTCTTATTTTTTTTTAATTAAAAAAATATTAAGCTTTAATTTAAAAAGGAAATCTAATATATTCTTCTGGGGTAAGATAAGCTTCCAGGAGGTGGCCAGAGGCACGCCTGCCTTTCTGAACGCCGCGGCAGCGTGAGCCAGATGAACAAAGAGAGGAAACCACCGCTCCAAGGCGTGAGCCACGCTGGCACACGGATCCTCTACAACTTGTAAGCGTGTCCCACTTCTGGTTTAGAAGTGTTTTCCTGCTCACTGTGGGCTCATTTAGGTGGTGCAAGAGCCATCTGCTCCCCAGGGACCCACCAGTTGCTCTGCAAAGGCACTGCCTGGTTCGATTCATTCCACCCAGGGATCTGATGGGATGGGGGCCAGAGCAGATCGTGGTCTTCCTCACAACAGGCAGCCTGGTCACGCCTCTCTGCTCCACCACCACAGCTCTGAACGGCCGCAGGGGTTGTGCTCAGCCCATGCCAGACCCTATTTCCTTGCAAAAAAAGCTCCCCATGGTCTCCAGATTGGAGTCAGCCGCAAGCCGGCAGTCACTGCTAAATATAACGCCTTTGAGATGAGCCTGGGCTGTTCTGCATCCTAAGGAAAAACAGGATTAATAATCTGGAGCCAATGGTGCTGAGATGTGTGAGGTGTTGCTGAAGCACTCTCAGGCTTCAATATTTAAAGTGAGCCTAGAAGAAAGATGAGGACAGACTTTTCAGCAGGTCCTGTAGCAGTAGGACAAGGGGTGATGGTTTTAAACTAAAAGAGGGTGGATT